AATACTTTGAATCATATATATTTTTTTAATTAAGTAACAATGCTAATACATTAAAAATACAATACAACATATAAAAACAAATTAATACCAAATTGCATACATCCCCCGATCCTTAAACAATTATTATACATATTTGTTATACATATTAAACAGTTTATGCAGTAGTAAATTTATTACATATTATATACAACATAAATTATTATGCAGTAATTATATTATTAATAGATTTATTTACTTGATTTTTAAAAAATGGAGAAAAGATGCCACGAGTGTATTTTGTAAGTGTGTAAGTGTGCATGGTAGCAATATATGACTTTAATCAATTATTAAGAAGTTTGATATATTGGAATTCTGTGTATTATTTTGTGCGTAATTCTTTAATCCGCTGGGTTATTACATGATGTGCGGTTCTGGATGCGTTTTATTATCTCTTGTGTAATTATTTACTTTTGAAAACCGCACACTGGCTACTTTTTGGTTTTTTTTTTAAACCGCAAATTTTTGTAAAAATAGTATGATTGGTGCAGCAATTGCGGTTTTGACATAAATGCTTCAAAATCCGCACCGCACTTGCTCTCCAAACAAAGCCTCAAAATTTATCTTTAGCTAATCCCACAATTTTTTATTTTTTTTAGTTAAAGAGTCTAATCCCACAAGATTTTGTTTTCTTCTTAATTTTTCAATTGGCAAATTTAAACTTATTTCATAAACTATATATTTCTTGTCATTTTAAGACTACACAGTATCATGAGAAACTTCCGAACACTTATAAACGAGATAGTTATAACAAAATTGTCTCATCGTAGGAAAATGCAACAAGATACGTCGTGGCCCTTTACGTATCACTAAAACTAATAAACACAAAGAAATCGACCTTTCAGAACCGTCAAAAGGCTTTTGAGGCGTGTTAGGTGATTACTAGCTACTGGTTTTGAGTTTGAAACATTTGGAACCAAGTATCAATTGCTTCCACTTGACGATTGCGTACACAAATTTCATTTTCCAAACTTTTTGGTTTATTATATATATCCCATAATTTATTTCATCGAAATATCTAAAAAGAAAACGTTTGTTAAATCACTATCATCCAACCATAATCACGTCAACTTTTTAAAAGCAATTTTTTTAGGTTTCGCGAACATCGATATCTTTGGTCAACATCAGTTAACTTCAATTTTATGGGTTATGAAATCGAATTCCGGTTTAATTTTCATTTCATATAACACCGTTTGGATTTAATTAAGTGGAATTGTTAAAATCTAATTGCCAAATATTTTGACATAGGTTTTAAACTTGGTGTGGTTCAGGATTAAAATTTTTCATTTCACGTGGTTCTTTAAGAAAATATAATTTTTGTGTGGTTAAAACTTACATCTAAATTTTGGTGCAGCTTTAGATTGATCATCCCTTGTTAAACTAATCTTTAGATGAAAAAAATAGGATGTTTTCTTTTGTTGCCCAACATCATCAGTAATCATTCATCCAACATCAAAATTTCACACAATAATTAACAGAAAATTATCATTCTCCACATCTATTGTAAGTTGTAACCCAACTTGGTACAAAAGTATAAAGCTTAGAGACATAATTCGAAGATGAAACCACTCAATTACTTTCTCTCCAACGGAATGGTAGATAAGAGAGCAAATGTTTAATGTTTTAAGTACCGGATTGATGGCCAAGTTTCCTCTCAATAAATCACCCTCACTAGCTGGTTGGAGTCTTATTCGACGTTGGTAGCCGAAGATTGACGTTATTAATCAGAGAAATTCTTACAAATACCATAATTTGAAAATTTGTTTCCAAAAATACCACTATTTTTCCAAATATTCCATAAATACCATAAAACTAAAGTTAACTTTCAACATTCAAAACTAAAA